GGGTTTGAACCGCCAGCCTTCTGGTTAGCAGTCAAGTGCCTTTAGCCACTATGTTACCAGAGCTCCCATACATTTTCTTAGATCATGAAATTAAAGTCATTTCTCAGTCACCTAACTTCAGTCAGACAGCAAAAGCCAAAGATTTTGTCAAAAGAGATGCTCAGTTTGGATAAATGTATTGATGCATCATCCATCCAGGAATCCATAGGCAAAACAGACATCCTGTTTATGCCTGCAATTTCATTAGCTGTTTGCTTGAGGTCCAGTCTCAAACTGAATGAGGGAAACTAACTCACTGCCATCGAGTTGGACCCGACTCATAGCAACCCCTCCTTGGGTTTTCGAGGCAGTATCACTACAGAAGTAGACTGCCCAACCGTCTTTCCGAGGAGTGGCTGGTGGGTTTGAACTGCCGGGCTTCTGGTTAGCAGTCACATGCCTTAGGCACTATACCATCAGAGCTCTGAATGAGGGAAAAGGGGTTAAATTTTCATATCTGCTGTAGTGATTTAGGGAGCTCTGGAAGCATAGTGCCTAAGGCAGTTGACTGCTAACCAGAAGGCTGGTGGTTCAAACCCACCAGCCACTCCTTGGAAGGAGGTTGGGGCAATCTCCTTCCATAGTGATACGCCTCGGAAACCCAAGGAGGGGTCACTATGAATTGGGTCCGACTCGACAGCACATTAACAACAACAACAACATAGTGATTTAGTCCATTTAGAGACAGTTGACCAATTAACTTTTTTAGAAACTAGAAACCTCTTTTGCAGCAATCATTAACCCTTGCTATTGAGTTGGTTCTGACTCATAGCGACCCTACAGAACATAGCAGAACTACCTTATAGGGTTTTCAAAGCTGTTCTCTTTACAGAAGCAGACTGCCACATCTTTCTCCTGCTGGTAGGTTTTAACCACTGACCTTATGTTTAACACTGAGCACTTAATCACTGCACCACCATGGCTCCTTTAATCATTACAAGGAAGTATTATGTTGAGTCACAGGATGGGGACAGTGGAAGGAAAGGGGAAGTTCTCTAATTCTTTGTCCACTCAAGTCCCTACATAAGTCTCCCTCCCCAAGCCTGCCAAGATTTCCAGGTGTTGTAATTAAAATGGACTGGCAGCTGGTGACTCACAACTCTTAAGACTACAGCAAAATCTTGGTTGGTTTGTGTGATAGAAAAATAAACTCAAAGAAATATGTCCACTTTTATTTAAAAGTGATTTCAAAAACGTTCCTAGATGGTTAAAAAGAGGCATAAGAAAAATGTGAAAATTATAAATGTGAAAATACATAAAAGGATAAGTGATCATCATTTTGTATCTTTCGATACTGGAAGTAGTTTTTCAAAGGCTGGAGAACACCAGTATGTACAGGCTGATGTAAAGCTATTTGAGGTTTGAAAATAGCCAAAATAGAATATTAGAAATAAACTTGAGAGTTTACTGAGGAATAAATAAGCAAAAGAGGTACACCCTAATGTCTTTGTTTACAAAATGAAGGAATGCCTTCATAAAAGGTGCCTAAATTCTTCCAGTGGGGCAGCATTCCAGGCATGCCCCCATCCATGATTGGGTGTGATGCTTGCACAGGTGACCACTATGAGACACAGCCAAGGCTATGGCTGAGGGAAGGCCTTTCTTTTATTCTAAAAGTGATTTAAACCTCTTGGCCAGTGTTTGAGAGCCCTCTCTTAAAAGGGGATTTTAGTATGTATGAGCCTTGGATTTTCTATGATTTTAAGGTTGAAAAAGATTTAAACACTTTGGAGGTTAGGACTTGTCCAGACATTCTAGTGCATTCTCAGAAACTAGAGATTTCCCTTTCATCATTTAGCAGTGGTGAAAGTGTTACTGGTTTTGCTTTTTGTTTCCCTTTTGTCTCTGTTTATGAGGATAGTTTGTTCTTTATTTAGGGTTTGCCAGCATAGCTACAGAGCTTTTCCTGACTGTCTCATTTGTAATTTATGTAATCTCCACTACTTGTTTCTTAGATTATTCAAAGAGAACAGGAAATGAACTGACTGTCCAGTTCCCTTTACACTCAGGCCCTTTCCTGGGACGTCTGCAACATTCATTCCACCCTCTTGCCTTTTGATCTTGCTATGAGCTGAATGGATGTTCATTTCCTTAATCAGAATGTTCTCAGAATATCTAGTTATGTCACCCATAAACCCATGGGCATGACTCATATTCATAGTTCTTTAATTAATAGCAAGAGAACATTCCAGAAGAAGCATAGCCTCTTTGGGTACAGAAGGAGTGACTCTTTCCATCCCCTTCACTCAACTGCAGTTGAGAATAAATGGACAGATACTTTTAAGCACACAAAGCACAGAATAGCATTGATGTTGAAAGAAAATGTATTTCAGCCAAAAGGTACTTTCATAAAACAAGCAATAAGTAGTTTAAAGGCCTAGCAAATTGTTCCTATTTGGAAGTGTGCAGGTCAGGTCTGGACTATCTGGTTTTAGGCAGTTGGAATTTTGGTCTGAGTAGGAGATGTCCTTTGCTTCTCGGATTTGCTTCATGTATGATGTTGTTAGTAGCTGTCGAGTCATTTCCAACTCATGGCAACCCCATTTGTGAAGAGTAGAACTACTCCATTGGGGTTTCCAAGGCTGTGACTTTTTGGAATCAGATCACCAGGCCTGTCTTTTAAGGCACCTTTGGGGGTGGATCAGTGTGAGCATGTTTTTCAAGTTTTCTCTTTTATGTTCTGTTGGGTTAATATGGTCCTTGGCAACCTAGTCGAGAAAATGATGTTTTAGCCACTGCTCTGGCCTTGAATAATTCTTGGGGTCCATACCTGAATATTTAGCACCTTTGAAAAACTATTCTCAGTAGAGGCCTCCTGGGGATATACAGAAAGTAAAATCAGCAGTAGGATGGATGCAGCTGGTTGGTGCCAGCACAATTAACTCATAAGATGTGAAATTGTGGAAGAACAGATTAATGGCTCTGATCACATAATAAATGCACAAAAGCTCCTAAAAGTGAACTAGGAAATTGTGCCCTTCTGGAATGTACCAGGTGCTGAGCCAGGTATGGAACGTGAACAAGGTGGGGCCCATGGATGTTCTAGAGAAAGGTAGACTGTAAGAGATGAAGGAAGCATATAGGTAAGGGGACTGTCCATCTCAGTTTCTCCAGCATTGATAGTTCAAGTCTATGCCTGTTGGTCTGTTGAAATTATGTCCATTG